GCAGAAATGAGAACAAGAAAGTAACTCTAATTGTAGTAATTGAATCCAGTCAATCAAATTACATTTGTTTCTTCAATAAGCTAAAATTCATATCCGCAAACAAAACGTTTCTTTCAATTTGAGGCAAGCTTTCATGTAACTTAACAAATGATTCTGAATTTAAATTGACTAGTTAAAAGTTTCAGATAAAATTTTGAAATTTCTCTGAACTAAATTGCTGATAAAATTTAAAAGTTTGAAGGTCAAATCCAATTTGTACCTGACACCGTAATGCCTATGGATCCACATCAGAGAGACAGTATCAGGAAAACAAACACATCCAAAATGTTTGTGACAGCACATTTTATTTTCCCTCAACTTAAGTCATTTCAAGTAATAGACTGAATTTGGGTTTTTCTTAACAGCAGAAATAATAGTTGTAAGAGGTCATTTTGCTCAGGCCCATCAGACTATTTGCATTTTATTTTTCTCGATTCCAAGTACAGAATTTTCAGCTGACTTGCATTTTATGTTGGAAGTCTAACATCTCACCCACTGATGTTTCAAGTTAATGAATAGTATTACTCATGAAAACCAGCGAAAATAACTGCATTCATGATATTCTCAAAAAATATCCGTGCAAGTTAATGATGGCAGTTTCAGGCTTACACCACAAACCAGCACCAGTTCAACCAAGGAGGTTTGGGAAACTCTGGGGTAGGATTTTGCAGGCTTGAAGAAGTGTTGTAGGACCATCACAAGACCAGTTGCATGTAACAAGGTGGATACCGAAGGAAGGAATGTTTCATGTCTCATTTCGTCTGTACAATGCACACATGATAATGGTTGACTGCACTCAAAATGAGGATGATCTTGAGACATGAATTCGGACTGGAGGTCTTTTGACTGTCTCGTGAAGGTCTTGGGAGGATCTTGGCAACAACACAGGCTCGGTAAAGCCTGTCATTTCTACTGTTGTGAACTAGGCTTGGTGATACCAAGAACCATAAACTTTTTTGGCAGTAAATCCACTGTTCTGCTTTGACTGTGTGTCTTAAATATATAATTCTACAGTTACCAAAGTTACTTTACATCCACAGCCATGTCCACAACTTATACAGGGAGCAATCCATGAATGTCTATTGGCTAACAGGATCTGACATTTCTAAGATATTTGAGGGACAAAATTGGAGTCTTAACATGCTGAACCAATACTGTAGTTTTTATACTGACATTCCTTCATGATTTATCAATTCTTACAGCAAGGCTGAGTAATGTACCCTGAGTCCTTTAGTCCTTTGCATTTCACTACCACATTTCTGGGTCAAGATGACATCCCACGAAGGGTTATATCTTTACAAGTACAAGGGACATGTCATTGGTTTTGATGAATTTTGTTAGACTCAGGAAGGCTTCTTGGAGAAATATCTTGGAGTTAGTTTTGCATTCCAGCCTGTCATAATGCCCCAAACTATTTCCAGCCCTGAGTGTCATACTAGCTTCTTTTGGCCTTCATTAATGGTTGTACTCTCGCCGGTCAGGGATGAAATACATGTAAATATTTGACATAAAATTCAAGTTTCTTCTAAAATTGCAGCATGTCAGATGTAAAACTTTGCACACAATGTATGAGTAGCAGTCTCCATCAGCTCTCTCTCTTTGATAATTGCAAATGATCCTATGGGGCTAAACAGATATTTTATTCAATATTCTCAACATTTCCTTTGCCATTAAAATTAAAACTACAATGAAAATACAAGTACTTTCAAAAGCAGCTTCACATTTGGTTTGATGAATTTCACTTACTGACTGGCTTTGAGCCATGAGACACATTTTAAGAGGATACAAAAATAGAAAAGGACTTAAAAGACCCATCAAAATAAATGACAGAGATGAGACTTCTCCTGAATAAGTATGGGGCGAGAATTATCCACTAGTTTGGTTAAATTTTCATTTCAGTGCTGCATTAAAGCATAGAAGGACACAGAAGGAGTTTGAACTGCACTGGCTGTAACATCTGGCCATTTACCGCTTTCTGGCATGCCAGGTATGTCCATAGCAAGAGCGCAGCGAACACTTGCTACGCACCCTCTGTTTCACAACCTTGAAACCCCTTTGTACCCTATGATCGCCACAGCAATTTGTCGCTGGTAATCTGTATCCTTAGAACTTTGTGTACTGAGGTACAGGAAATTGAATATTCATGCCTTTGTTGGTACTTGGTATGATCTCATTTAATTTAATGCTTACGCAGTTGCTTGCATTACGCTGTGTGCCCTTAAGCTATATGTGCAGTCATTGCCCTTAATGAGCTCTTTCCTCTGGAGTTATTTTGGGAATAAATAGCCCGGTTGTTTGCAAGATTTTGTGTTTTGTTTGAATCATTTCTATTATGACATTTGTACAAAAGCGTATTTTATGAGATTTCACGATCACTCCCTGTGATAAAATAGCGCATTTTGTTCCTGATGAACTAAGCTTCCAGTAGTAGTGAACATTTTGTTGGCCTGTCTTAGCCAAATTCGTACCAAGCCTTTGAACACTGATGTATTGGACGGCGGAGAATAAAATTACAAACTTTGCATGGGTGATAGAATGGTATATCAAAACTCAAAAAGTTTACTTATGATGGCAAAAGTTGGTCTCATATCAGGGATATTTCTCTATTCCTGGTCACATCAATAATTTGTATTTAATTGCAAGCAAAACACTACAAGTATTGTTAGGATATTACTGACCGCACTTGTTCGGTTAAGATGCAGGCAATGATCAGGCATTTTTGGAATGTTTTCTATCATTTATCTGACTCGGCAGCGACCATCATTGAACACTTTGAAGTGCCTGAGTTACAACTCCTGCTGTGTCCTTCCTCTATGATCCAAGTAGGCCTAGAGGGCTGGTGTACATAGATATATTCAGGAAAGAACACACTGGCATCGTATATCTATAGAAAACACAGTGCAGTGTGCACATACGATTCAAAGGTAAAAACAGCACTTGATGTTGACTGGCTTGGACACTGGTGGTAACTTGGTGTTCACAAAGGCTCAAACAACTGTTTTCAGCTCTCATATCAACATTAAGAACTCAAGGGGATTGCTCAGGAACTTTTGCACAAGAGGACTATCTGAGTTCTCTGCACAACTACAGTTGGGGTAAACGATTCTATATTTTGTACTGGCAAGTACTTAGGTCATTACTTGTTACAAAAGAGCAGAGGGAACTGATGTGATACTTGCACAGGACTTTTTAGGTTTTGGCATGTACATGTGAGTAACTGTATTCAAATATCAATGCAAAAGCTTACGACTTAATATTTTGCTGGAAAATGGTGACGGCACTGATTTCAACTTTGACCCAAACATCTTACAAAAAACACAATAGTTTTCAAGAGGTTTGCACAGAATTAGTCACGTTTTGTGTGTATATATAGATATATATACATGTATATCTGTCTGCACCAGAAGGGGACTTTCCAATAAATTCTGCACTGGATCATTGCAAGGGGTCTTTCTACAGAAGTTAGAAGTCTGCTGACTTGCATATTAAGAAATATATACCCCTGCACAGTCTTTGCAGTGAAAGGTTATAAAAACAATGCTTGCCATTGAAACATAAATTCATTTGTCATACCATGCAGTGCATTGATAAAGTTTAAAGCTTCAAAAACTTCTCTTACAACTACTGTATCTGTCTCTGAAGAATGTTGCTCAGCAGAAAAGACAAATATGGCCGCTCTTGTTTAATACTGAATTCTTTACAATGGCTGTATTTTCTGGTGGAGTGCAGTTCATATAGTATCATACCTCACATATATCTGCTTGCTGAAAAGAAATGAGATTGCTGAGAAAATTTGAAATGATTAAGCTCTTTCTCCACAGTTAGGTGCTGATATGCATTCAACTTCTGTAACGTTGCTAAGCAAATCCTTGCCATGGCACCACAAATGTTTTGTTTACTTCTAGGTGCAGTCCACTAATTCAAGTGAGAATTTCTGACCAGCTCATTCGCATTAAAAGTGCCCGCCCCCACAGTATCTTTTGAAAAAGGAGATTCTTTGGCCCCTAAACTGGTGAGATTGTGTAAATCATTGCCAGGATTACCTCCCTGGGTCTTTGGGCTTCCATCTGAGAGCAGAATGGCTAAAAAATACGGTTGAAAAATGGTCCTAAGTGCCCGAGAAAGTTGAGGGTTGCCACTTGAAAGTGGCTGCAATCAGACTTCAGAAAATCCACTTTTAGGGGGGTTATTTTTTTTTGTGGGAATAATTAAAAGTGTAATAGGTTAAGCAACCCACACATAATTGAAAAGAAATTAAAAACATATGGGACCAGACAATAATTCAATTTGTGTATCAGAAATCTCAGGGATGTTGGCGAGAATGTTCTTGGGCCCTGAACAGTGCTGATTTGACACTGTTTTCAATGGGGCTTGAATTAGTGGACTGAACCCTTCTGCACGCAGTATGATCTGGCCTCCAATTTCCACACACTTTTTGAATAAATGACACATTTAACTTGTAAATTTCTGTAGCTCATTCCATACACTTAATCAGCAAAACTGCCCTTTTTGATCAATTTACAACATTTAATGCAGCTGGATTGTGGGTCATGTACCCACCTGTGTTGCCGGGGAAACAGCGGCCATATTGAGCTTGGTTGCCAAGGGCTCCGGAAGGGATATAAGAACCGAGTTGTAAATATCTGGTTGGTTCTGCCGTACACTGGAGATTATCTGCATAGCACACGACGAGGCATCTGCACAAATGAAAACGTGTTTGACATATGCAGGCAGTGAATCTTAACAAGTGAAAAAGGAAATAAAAAAAAGCAGAAAGTTGGAGCTTTCATCATCCTCTGCTACATCCTCAAAAACAGTTCAACCTTTGTATGTAATGTCTGCTGTCTGTCACAGAGCATGAAAATGCAATGAAAATTCCTCCTCTTAAGTGAAGGAGCCTTAGCACGATTTGCATCACGTACTCAAGCTCAGGATGTGCCTTTCACGCAAAGATGGTAGAGGTTTGTACCAGTATTGCATTCCAGTCCATCACAAATCCATCAAAATCCCTGCAAGTCCATCATAAATCCATCAAAGTCCCTGCAAGTCCATCATAAATCCATCAAAGTCCCTACAAGTCCATCATAAATCCATCACAAGTCCCTGTAAGTCCATCATAAATCCATCACAAGTCCCTGTAAGTCCATCATAAATCCATCACAAGTCCCTGTAAGTCCATCATAAATCCATCACAAGTCATTCAGTCTTAAGCCAATTCACAAGCTATTCAAAAGAGCTATGACAAAAGCTCTCCTTTGTCACTGTTCACCCTGTTACTTATGACTAGCCTTGTGGAGGGACTTGTGACTGGACTTGTGAAGGGACTTGTGACTAGCCTTGTGGAGGGACTTGTGACTAGCCTTGTGGAGGGACTTGTGACTGGACTTGTGAAAGGACTTGTGATGGACTCGAATATAACACTGGTTTGTACACATTCTGCCTGATTCACCCATATGAAGCTATGTATGCTGACAACAGCTTCTTCAATGTGTCCTACTGGGTATCCAACAGCGCCCTCGTCAGTGCAGGCACCCAGCCTTTACAGCACACTACCTACTTACACTCGGTGAGTTGATGGAGGATCTGTGGGAACATGGCCAGCAGACTGGGCAAGCTCTGAAGGATGGAGGGGTGAGCGGCTTGGTAGAGCTGAAGGATGCAGCCGTACACCGTATCATTCTCAGCAAGATCATCTTGCAAGGGGAGAAACTTCAGCAGCATCGGAATCACCTGATCATGGGATGATAAATATTCATGACATGTTTACACTGAGTACAGAAATAACTATGAATACACATTCACGGCTGCAAGAGAGTTATTCATTAGGAACCTATATGTCAACAACATTGCATCCTTTGCAGTCCTTGTATTCAGCATCTAGTCTTTTCTCAAGGCTTGGCCAAAGGTATGGCCCAACCACTTCATATCAATCCCACCTCTGGCTTAATGTATTATAAACTCCTATGATCCTGAGACTAACAAATGACAAACAGACTTGAATTCAAAAAGTTGACGATGAAGGTCAGGATGGAAATGAACTCAAGGTTTGAGAAATAAGCTGCAACTTGCCTCTTCTAGCGGGACTAGTGAGTGATTAGTCACAATCAGACGGCAGACCGCAGCACACACATTGTCTACAACGCGTCGGTTGGTTTCCTTACCCATGACTGAGGACAGAGCCTGAAGGATGTTGGAGAAATGTCTGTCACAGTTAACATCAAGGAATAAAACAAGTTACAATGAATATTCATCAACTGAAGCCTTTGGTACAAAGAATGGTTTCAAATGACAGCACGCAGAACATCACTCAAAATGTCAGTGAAACAAAATTGAGTCCAGGGGTGCCAAGTTTACAACATAAGAAGTTTAGAAACAAATCTGTTCGCTATGCTTATTCTTATTCATGAAAACCATCACAACCCTCAATTATTACGAATGAGAATATAATTTCAGCAACAAATTGATGACAGTTATCAATATAAAACAATTGAACAACTGTGTCAAAAGTTTTTAAAATCACGCTCAATTTAATAAATTGGCCAAACAGGTACTCCACTGACATTATGTGACCTGCTCGGTGAAAATGAGTCTTTTTTCAGTAACTTTGTTTCAGACCATAACGGGAGGGCAAACAAACTAGATTAGGGCCTGCATTGGCCAAGAATCAGTGAAACAGAGCCCATGGCAATGATTGAAGAAGGGGAGTCGTTATCCATTGGTTGAGGCTTAGACTAATGAAAGTATACTGTACTGCTCTCAGCTGCAATGCTGCCCAGAATCCTATCAGTGAAGCTGTTGGATGAAGTGTTAGTTTTCCTCTACCTCCTACAGGAAGGGTTCACCAAAGCGCAAAAGCCGGGCACGTAAAACTATGTAGACACGTCAAGTTTCAGGGTTTTTATGTAACAAAGGATACGGGTATGCCACCTCTCCACAGTTCTGGGCTAGGACTCCGAGACCAAAGACGGCATTGCTTCGGACTTCCTCATCCTCGTCATGGGCCATGCGGAGGAAGACGGGGAGAAGATGGGGCAGGAATGGCTGGGCGGCATCGCCCATGCCAACCACCGACTCTGATAACGTGCCCACTGAGAAAGACTTCTCAGCTGAAGAGCAAGACTTCTTCTGCAGAAGACATGGATCAAATCTACAATAAATACCAGTGTTACATGTGTAAAAGGCCTGTGTCATGTTGAGAAAACTGTCTACTACGAGAAATAATTTTTAAGGAAAAGTGAGCCAAGGAGGAAAGGATTTGAATAGGATTTTCATCTCATTCACATCAAAATATTATGCATTTAGGTGAACCTCCATAGTCGAAGGCCGTGCTTGTCTCACATGGACCTGGATCATGATCAGTGATCCGTTGTTGGTTTACAAACAGC